CGGCCAGGAGGGGCTCCCTCCGCCTGGCCCCGTCGGCGGGGTTTACTCCGGAGTCTCGGGCTGTGCTCGGGGTGGAGACGGCGTTTTCACCGGGGCAGCGTGGATCTGTGCGTCGGCGCTTCCGATGGGCTCCGCCTGGGTCAGCCGGGGAGGTGGGGGAGTGTCAACGTCCGGTGCGAAAATGGATGCCTTTAATGTTATAATACAGTGTATTTTTTTTTTTTTTTTACCTGTCATTGGGCCTCATATTCTTATGGAGCCCCCTAACAAACGTAGGTAACTAAGTTTGGTTATTTTCTTCTGTTCGTCTGTCTCGTGTCAATTTAATTCTTTGACCTGACCAAAAAAAAAACAACTAGAAGAGTAAAGGATAGTTTCTTCCTCTTTGACAATGTCATCCATCCAGCTTCATTGCACTGAACAAAGGCTGGTCATTGTAAGAATGCACCTCTCCATATAGAAAAGGGAATCCGTGATGAGACATTTGTTTCATTATCATTTATCCCATATAGAAAATGACTATAAATAGGAAAGTGTCTTATAATTTTACTAAGCCAAGCTCCAAAATATGCAAAATAATAATAATAGTCCAGGCATGAAAATAACCTTAGTGACTAATTTGTTTTCTAATTTGTCCATTGCCCACCATGGCTACACTGGACAAAGTCAGATAATCGGATCTGAAATTCTCAAAATAGTTATGAGAGTGAGTGTCATTAACGTTCACTGGGAGTCATGACATTTAATGAAAAGCCCAAAGGAGAAAGTGGAAACTGAGATGATTTTCAAGGACATCAACCTTTATAGAATGTTCAGAGAAAGAGAAGAGCGTGTCATCAGGGACCGAGGAAAAGGCAACAAAAAACGTAAAACCTGAAAACCATTGTGTCCTGAGAACCACAGGGCCAGGCTCCTTACAGGAAATTGTTACCTGGCAAAGCCTGAAGACAGGTCAAGTAAAATAAGGATTAAAATGTTCCATTTTTACGGAGTATAAGATAGTTTTGCCTGGTAGCTTGGCGCAGCACTGTCAGCGGAGTAGTGGGTAAAGAAGCTAGACTTTAAAGCTTTTTGATAGAGAATGGAGAGAGAAAATTCGAAGACAAGTAAAGTGTATTTTCTTAAGGAAGGAAAAGTCATGTGGTTGCGGACTTGGGAGTTAAGGTCGCCTGCCTTGGGGGGGCTGTCGTGAGCGTCAAGTGAGCTCATGTTGGTAAAGAGCCTGACATGGCACCTTGCAAAGATTAAATTGCTGCTGTTTTACTTATTTTATTTTTTTAAAGTGTGCTTTTGGTTACCTGGGTCTAGTGGGTTTCCAGGGCTGATTCTCAGATGGGCGTGGGGCAAAGCAGGTGCTTTGTGTTTTCTGTGCTGTGACCGAGCACGCATCCCTCGGTTTGGGTGGGTGTGATCCCAACAGCCTGCGAGGCCCCTGCCACTTTCAGAGGTGCATAGCTCTGAGGAGGACAGAAGGGCTTTCACCCCTGCTCTTTCCGCCTCTCCTGGTTCTGGAATAGTGACGAGGGTGTGAGGCGGGTTGCTGCTCCTCTGATCTTTCAAGGCACAGTGGTCAGTGGATGTGGCCTGGTTGGTTGCCTGAAGAATGCCCCCTTCCCCCGCTTTCGTGTGGATGTATAACATACAGTTAGAGGCCAGAGGTGAGCTTGGCCCCTGAGATACTGGGGTGCTTCGAGCTGGTGAGTCCGCTGTAGCCGATGTGTACGTGGGCACAAAGCCATGGTCAAGTTGCATGGTCAGTACATGGTCAGTCTAACTCTGTTACATCTTCATCTACAACTCTGCTGTTGGGGGAGGGGGGTGGGTCAGCATTGCAACAAGGAGGTCCAAAGGCCCGTCTCCAGCTAGGTGATGCAGTGTGCAACTGGCTGTGGAGAGAGCTACTCTGTTTTCTATACTGGCTCTTCTGCGGTTTTAGGTAAATAAGGGGGAAGTCACAAAAAGGCCATGGGTGTGTCCTAGCAGAGCCATGCTGTGCGGCAGGAGAGGGGAAAGGAGAGCATTGCCCTCATCTCATGCTTTTTCATTTTGGATGGTAGGTTGGGGGACAGGCCTGGTGGCTTTTGGTGGGAAGCCAGGTTGGTCATTGTCACCCACAGGCATCTCCAGTTTGGGATGGGGCACACGGGAGGAAGAGCTGTAGCTAGAAGACAGACAGGCAGGGACTTGTCCGGGCTTGTCCTTGTCATTGTCCTCCTCAGAATTGCCACGCCATCCTGCACTGGGGTCATGGCGGGAGTGGAAACCATAGATGTTGGAGAAGGCAGCCAGAGGACCCCCCCCTCCTTCCTGCCCACAGTTTCTTTTGGACTTGGAGATGGCAGGCATTGCCAGAGCTGTAGCCGTGTTTGTTAACATCCCTCATGTTCCAAGCAGATTTTACCAGATCAGGAGATTAGACTTTGGCTGCAGAGCCCTTTCTTGCCGTGAAGTCTCCCTTGACAGCCCCATATGTAAAACGGATCAAAACAGTGTATGTTCTGGGTGGGTTAGAAGGGGTCAGAGCTGTGCCCATGAGACAGCCCCCGTCCCCAAAGTCTGGTGGTCCTCCCCTATGAAAGCTGGAGAGCCTTGGCCTCGCTGTGTTTAGTGAGGCCAAGACTATGGGAAGCTAGCCCTGGTGCTCTGGTGACCGGCCCTCTGGTAGGAAAACAGGCGAGTTGTAACATCATTTGCCAGTTTCTTTGGCGTGACTTCTCTGCTGTTGCCTGTTTCAGGCTGCCTTTGTGACATTGCTGGATGTGGAGTTGGATAGAGGTGTGCACGGTTGAGTGTGCCCTTGCCCACCCAGCGCCACTGGAAGTGGGTATTTTGGGGAGAAGAGCTTTAGCTGAGCCCTTTCCTTCCTGGGCCTTGTCCTTCCCCTGGGCTGGGTGCAGTCCTGTGGGATAGGCCGGGCCCAGTGGTGAGCTCCATGGCCTGGGAGAGACCTTCCTGAGAGCAGACTCCTCCCTCCCCAGAGCCTGGAAGGGCTGTGTGCCCAGGTGGCTCTGTTGTGGGTAATGCTGGCAGCAGCAAACCTGGAGGGGGCCTGAGTCCCAGCCCAGGAAAGGTACACCGTGTAGTGCCTGCGGCTCGGGGGCCTCCCGGGTAAAGAGGTGGGAGGCCTGCCGCTTGTTCCACGGCCAGTAGGTGTTGGGGCCTCTCCGTTCTGGCAGCACCGGGTGCTCTCATAACCACTAAGTAACCAAAGAAAGACACCAGCCCCCTCTCCCACCCCCAACTTATCTTATCACAAACTGCCTTGACTGCAGATACGGACTCGGAGGAGGAGGAAGAGTTCCTGAAGGACGAGTGGTCTGCCCAAGGCCCCTCCGGCTCCAAACTGACATCTTCCCTCCTGTGTGGCATGGTGGCAAAGAACAGCAAGCAGGCCGGAGGCCCCAAGCTGCCCAAGAGGGGCCTGGCGGCCGCCCGGACTCTGAAGCCCCAGCCAGCCGCGGGCAGGAAGCAGCCGTTCTGCTTGCTGCTCCAGGAGGTCGACGCCCGGTCCTCCTTCAGCGATTCTTCGGAGGACTCATTTGACCAAGGTTACTAGCTCCAAACACAACCCCTTCCATGTTTTATAGCGAGAGTGCGTGAGAGTGAGCGAGCGAGCGAGCCGGGTGCGAGCGATGGCGCTGCTGGGCGGCCGTCTCGGTCTTGGCAGCGTAGCCTGCCGTATGAGCCTCTTATGCGGGTGTACTTGTACCTGTATCGTTGCGATAATACCACGGCTGGCTCTTTTTGAGCTTTTATACGGACTGATCTTAGTCTCCACCTTCCTCCACTCTCCCCTCCGCCCCACCCCATTCTGGCCTCCTCTGTCCCCTGGACCGCAGGCCGGGGTGGGGGTCTGGCAGGGGCCTCCCCAGGGACGTTTTGTAAATGGAACTTTGTCGTGTGGGCGTGTGACTTGATGTTTGTACTGCGATTTTGGCAATACCAAGCTTTATTAAATATATCGAGTTCATTTTTAACTAAACCCGTGTGCCTTGTCTCTCTTGCTGTGTCCTGACTTAGACGGTTAGGTTGCCGCTTCCCTCATTCCGTTCCTCCTCCCCTCCCCACCCTCCCTGGAAGGGGTAGAGACGGAGTAACGCAGTCGCTGCTTTCCTCTGTTATTCAAATATCCCTGGGAGCTACTGGCATGCACTCCATGTTTCAGGTTTAAAGTCAACTGCTTTCACCTTCAGCACCATCTTTTTTTTTTTAGCTGCTTGTCTGTCTTTTGTTTTCTTAAAGCTCTGTTCCTATGCACAGTGCTTTAGAATGTTTGCAAACATTAGTTTCTAACACACATTTCTGTCCTGAGGGGCGTGTAGGCAGCACAGGGTCAAGATCACATCAAGGTTGAGGGGTACAGCGCAGTGGCCTGTGAGTGCAGAGGCTGGCTGCTCAGCCTAGCTGGGGCCTCCTCCGCCTCACAAAAACAAGGTCCGAGTCAGCGACCTCTGGCCAGCAGACTCCAAATCGCGTCTTGTGTCTTGCCTCAGGTTAGGACTTGCTTCAGGGTGGACCCCTACAAGGACCCCCTGGGCGCCAGAGCCAAGACTCCGATGTCCCTGAGTGAGGCCTGGGCATGTCAGGTCCACTCAGATAGGAACTGACTCAGCCCCAGGATCTGAGTGCTGCCCGAGTCCAGCCTCTTTTGCTCTCACACTCCCTGTCTGCCTTCTCCTTCCCACACCTCCCCTCCAGATGGCCCAGATCCATTTTGGGGTGACCAGCAGATGGCACAGCAGGGAGCCAGGTGCCCTTGGGGCTCACACTGTCCTGGGCAACTTGCCAGTCATCCTGGTTTCCCGAGGCCGCTGGTTTGCCACCTCCTCCCTCTTGTCCCTTGGGCTAGACCCCCATGCCTCCTTCCACATACTTTTTCCCCTCCCCCTTAAAGCCAGGTGCCAGTTTCCAAATTTTGGGGCTCTCCTGCTTCAGCTCAGACCCAGTAGAGAAGCAGGTGGTCCCCTGGATCTAGCAAGGGGCTATTTGCCCCAGGGCCCTCAGACCAGGGCTGGATACAGCAGTGGACAGAGCCCAGATAGGGGAGTGTAGGGGGAGAGGAGAGGGCCCCACCACACACAGACCCATTAGTCAGGTCTCCAAAGGGATATTTGGGTAATAGGGCGTTACTGACACCTGATACTAAAACACCTAATCGGCTTGGCTTTCCAGTGTGTCTGCTTTCTCCCCCAGCAGCTTGACCATACCTTCACCCTTGACCCCTACCCATGATGCTTTGAATGTCTGTTTTGGTCTCTTGCATTCGCTCTCACGCTGCACTTGGACGCAAAGCGAAGGCTGGGAGTAGGGCAGACGGCGCCGCGGGTCACTGAGCTGGGGTCGAGCCTGGCTTGTGGGTCCGTAGGTAGGCACACCCTTTTCTTCATGTCCCCCCTGCACCTCCCTCCTCGGGGCTGCCCCCATCGGCTATGGCAGCAGCGGGTCGCTTTGGCATATGGATCAGGTTTTGGAAAACCAAACCAAGTCACAGCAGCCAACCCCACGCACTGAGCCAGGAGGATTTTTTGTTTTCATCTTTTTTAAAATAGAAAATAGTTTCTCTGCGTTTCCCTGGGTTTCTTTGTTGGGAGTTTTTCTCCCTTTGCCCTGGGCAAGCTGTGGCCTCAGGTGTGGACAACTTCAGAAAGGCTCTCTTGGTCCTCAGAACCCCCTGCTCCCCCTGCCCTTTAGCCTCTAGCCATGAGGGAGGCAGCCAGGTGCACTTGCCAGGCTTGGAGCAGGAGTGGGAGGGCCCTGGGAGACCAAGATCACCTGTGGTCCATTTTGTGGTGGGCTCACCCCCTTTTTTTGGCTTTTGCCTTTCAAACACTCCTGCATCTCATGGTGCTAGTGTGGGGCCGCTGCTGGCTTTCTGGGATCTGATGCAGACACTCGGATATCCAGAAACCCAGAGTGAGCCTCCCCTGCCGGACCCTGCGGTGGAGACTCCTCCTGGGTGGAGGGTTCTGGAGCCTCCACACCTGAGCAGCTCTGGGAAGGCTTCTGTAGAAGGGAAAGCTGGCCACCTGTCCAACCCTGAGCCCCAGCCCAGCCAGCCACCACCACCATCCCCAGGGGGCCTGATGTGGGGGACCCAGGCGCTGTCGAAAGTCTGCCTACACTTAGCCTGCTTTGCCGCTGTGGCCCACGGGGCGGAGACAGACCGTGACGTCTGCACTGTGAAGGGACCGCAAGTGTGCACTGCCTGCCTGCCTGCCTGCCGCCCGCCTGCCCGCTGCCTTCATCCGCTTCATCCATCGCTCGCGGAGCCGCCTCCTTTCACCCCTAACAAACTCCCTCTCTCTGCCTCTTTCCTCTCCTGACTCCCTTTAGAGATTCCTTAAGTTTATCACTGCTTCCCTCACCCAGGGGTCACTCAGCAGAAATGGGGCTCCCTCTGATCAGCGGGCGGACAGCAAGCCTCTGCCCCGATCAGCACTCCAGGGCCGCCACACTTGGCCACTGGTGGCACTCGGGCAGGCAGGCGGCCTGGGGGCTTGTCAGGAGAATGTGGAGTTGGCTGAGCCCAGACTGTCCCCACCCTAGACACCATGTCCACCTCCAGCCTCCCCTGGCCCAGCCTTGGCCAGCGGCCCCCAGAAACCCTCACCCTCCCAGTGCTCTGGGCAGACAGGCACCCTTGGGCAGGTGTCCCTCGGGGGGCTCATGGGCAGGCAGCCCCTGCTGCTGTATGCCTGCCTGCCCTTGGGTTAGCCTGGGAAGGGCAGAGCAAGCTTGTACCTCTTAACCATCTCCGTGGAGGTTCCTGTGTGGGAGTGTGCCCCTTTCTGCCCGCCCGCCTGCCCCATGGCCTGCCCCACCTCTGTCCCCATGACTGGAGTGACAGGGCCAGGTCCTGGAGAGAGGCACATCTAGCCAGCAGCTGGAGACATGGGCAGGGCTTCTATAGAGTTCCACTAGACTGGGAGACAGGACAGCCAGCCAGCCCTGGTTTGAGTCCTGCTCTCTACCTGAGCACTTGAGCCCCTGGGCTCCGGTCTCCAGGTGCAGAGTGGGCCGCCCTGTGCCCTTCCTCACTCCCCATCGTCCAGAGGTGTAGACAGCCTGTGGCTCCCTTGGTGGTGGGGACAGCAGTTTTTTCTAACAGGACAGGGTGGCCCTGTGTGTGTTTAATTCTCCCTGTACCTGCAAAGCGCTTTCTGCTGTAAATGTGTGGTCCTGTTTGGATCCTCCCCTAGCTGGGGTGGGCTGAGAGGGTTACCGCATGCCACAGATGGGAAAATAGGGCTCCTGGAGGGCCAGGGGCTTGCCCCAGATGTCCCAGCGTCGGGGTGGTGCTAGGAGCTAGTTTTGGACCCCAGAGCCTGCTCAGGGCTTCCACCGTGGATGTCCACCCCTCCCCCCAAGAAAAGACCAAACTCCACCTTCTCCTGCAGCCAGCCTACAGGCCTCCAGCTGCCAAAACCATGCCAGGCACCGTGCCTAGAGCCCCGGCTTGAGCCCCCAGCCCCCTCCCGTCCCTCTGCTCCCTTCATGGCCTCCTCTTTCCTCTCCTCTCCTGCCTCCTTCCTCAGCTCCACGTTGTACGTCGGGGTGTGTGTGCGTGTGAGACCCTGGGGAGAGCCGTCTCCAGTCCTGTCTGTGTGTCCCCCGCTCCACAGGACACGTGCATGTGCTGGTCCCCTGACAGACACCCACTCCGGTTCCCAAAGCCGCTGCTCGGGGCCGTCGGGACCCCAGGGCTTGGGCTCGCTTTGGTGGGGCTTTGGGTCATCGGGGGGCTCATGGGCTGGCTCTGGACCCACCCCCGGCTGTCAAGGCGTGAGGAGCCTGACGGGTGCTCCTGCCGAGTGGGGGCGGGTGGCCCAGGCCCAGGCCCAGGCGAGGCCCTGACTCCTGTTTTCTGCACCCCAGATGAGCGTTCTGAGGACGAGATTGAGGATGAGATGGAGGACGGCGACGGAGAGGAGGAGGACCAGCTGGAGGCCGAGGCCGAGGCCCACGGCAGCCATAGGCTGGGGGCGCGGGAACCCGCCCTGTCGCCCGGCCTGGAGGAGAGCGGGCTGGGCCTGCTGGCCCGCTTTGCAGCCAGCGCCCTTCCCAGCCCCACGGTGGGGCCTCCGCCGCCCCTGTCGGTGGTGCAGCTGGAGGCCAAGCAGAAGGCCCGAAAGAAGGAGGAGCGGCAGAGCCTGATGGGTAAGTTCAGCAGACATGCTGCCCGAGGGGCTCCGCTGCCCTGCCTACAGGCGAGGAGACCGAAGCTCCGGGAAGGGAAGGGGCAGAACTGGGTGCCCTGCCCTGAGCAGAGGCTGGTGATGGGCCTCCCTCCCCCGGCCTGCGGCTCCCAAGGAGGGGTCTCTAGAGCTGTGCGTTGACCTTCAATCCAATATAGCCTGACCCACCCCCTTCAGGTACCTGATGTCAGGCAGGTGTGGGAAACAGAGAGGCCTCAGATCTGCCCCTAAGGGGAGGGGGCTGTATGAGGTCCCTGACCCAGCTGGGGAGTTCAGGAGACCACACCTGACCCATGAGAGAGCCGTGGGAACAGAGAGGGAATAGAGGTGTGGACAGGAGGAGTAGGCCATGCAGAGTGCGCCGCCCAGGGCCGGGGCTGAAGTGGGCATTGTTGGGCTGCGTTGCTCTGTGTGCCAGGCTCACCGTCGCATGCTTCATGGCTCCAGAGCTCATTTCTCTCTGGTGCTCAGTAATATTCCACTGTCTGGACGTACAGTTTATTTATCTATTTGCCCACTGAAGGACACCTAGGACATCTTTTTTTTAATGGTTCCACAGCTTGTGGTTTTTAAAAATTTTTTAAAAATCTTTATTGATTTCAGAGAGAGGAAGGGAGAGGGAGAGAGAGAGAGAGAAACATCAATGATGAGAGAGTCATTGATCGGCTGCCTCCTGCATGCCCCGACTAGGGATCGAGCCCACAACCTGGGCATGTACCCTGACTGGGAATTGAACCCCGATCGCCTGGATCTCCTAGGTCGACGCTCAACCACTGAGCCACACCTGGCCGGGCCACCTAGGACATCTTGATGACATCCAAGTTGTGGCCGTTGTGAATAAAGCTGCTATAAACATCCCTGCACAGATTTTGTGTGGATAATAGGTTTTAGCTCCTCTGGGTGAATACTGAGGAGTATGGTTGCTGGACCGAACGGCGAGGGTATGTTTAGTTTTCTAAGAAGCCATCAAACTGTCTTACAAAGTGGCTGCACCATGTTGATTCCCGCCAGCAGTGACGGAGAGTTCTCGCTGTTCCATGTCCTCACCAGCATTCTATGTTAGTGCTTTGGGTTTTGGCCATTCTCCTAGGCATGTTGCAGTATTTCATTGTGATGACAGATGTGGGGCATCTTTTCGTACACTTACCTGCCATCTGAATATCTTCCCTGAAGTGTCTGTGAAGGTTTTGGGCCCATTTTTTGATCAGGTTATTTGTTTTCTTTATGTCTAGCTTTGTTTTTTTTTTAAATGTTTATATTGATTTCAGAGAGAGGAAGTGAGAGGGAGAGGGAGCCACTGATCAGCTGCCTCCTGCACGCCCCTGACTGGGGATCAAGCCCGCAACCTGGGCATGTGCCCTGACCAGGAATTGAATCGTGACCTTCTGGTTCATAGATTGACGCTCAACCACTGAGCCACGCTAGCTGGGCTTCATGTTGAGTTTTAAGAGTTCTTTATACATTTTGGATAACAGCCCTTTATCAGTTGTACCTTTTGCAGATATTTTCTCCCACTCTTGTCTTTTCATTCTCTTGAAGGTATTTTTTGTGGCGCCAAAGTTTTTAATTTTAATGGGGTCCAGTTTATCAGTTCTCTTTCATGGATTATGCCTTTGGTTTTGTTTCTAAAAGTTCCCTGTCAAACCCAAGGTCACCCAGATTTCCTCCGACGTTATCTTCTAGTTTTGTAGTTCTGTGTTTTACATTTAGGTCTGTGATCCATTTTGAGTTAACTTTTGTGAAGGGAGTAAGGTCTGTGTCTGGGTGTTTTTTGTTTTGTTGTTTTTTTGGCATGTGGATGTCCACCGCCATTTGTTGAAAAGACTGTCTTTGCTCCATTGTGTTGCCTTTGCTCCTTTGTCAAAGCTCTTTGACTATATTTTTGGGTCTATTTCTGGGCTCTCTGTTATGTTCCATCGATCTGCCTGTCTGTTGTTTTGCCGATCCTGCACTGTCTTGATCACTGTAGCTTTGTAGTAAGTCTCAAAGTTGGGTAGCATCAGTCCTCTGACTTTGTTCCTCTCCTTCAATATTGAGTTGGCTCCTCTGGGTCTTTTGCCTCCATATAAACTTTAGAATTAGGATGTCACTTTCCACAAACTGACCCCCTGGTTATTTTAATTGGAATGCACTGAACTCTGTAGCTTAAGTTAGGAAGAACTGACACCGTGACAATGTCAAGTCTTTGTATCCATGAACATAGGCTGTCTTCCTGCCTTTTCTGTGTCTGTTGAGACATTCACATCGCTTTTGTCCTTTATTCTATTAATATGGTTCTTTACGTTGGATTGTTGTTTTTTGTTATGTTGAACCAACCTTGCATTCCTGGGATAAATCCCATGTGGTCAAGATTCATAATCTGTTTTAATGTTCCTGGATTATACTCATGTTGTTTATAATTGTTATGTCTCCCTGATGGATTGACCATATATATTACCATTTCAAAATGTCCTTCTTTGTCTAACGTAACAACTTTTGTCTTAAAGTTTCGTCTCTTGTTTGGTATGAGCATCAGACAAGCTGGCCACCCCAGTTCTCTTTTGGTTACTCTTTGCAGTTTGTCTTCCCCATCCTTTGCCTTTCAATCTCTTTGTGTCTTACCCTTTTGATTTTTATTTTCCTGCTCCCCTCTCCCTCCTTTACTGCCTTATTTTTGGGAGAGCAGGCAGGAGCCCGGGACGCTGGGTGGGAGTTACTGTGTGGCAGTGAGACCTTGGCACACCCTTCTCTGTCTCCCCACAGCACCCTTGCAGAGACGGGTTCCTCTCTCCCGGGCCATTCATGCTGCTCTCCTGGCCTCATAGGTGTTTGTCCTCTGACCCATCCCCACCTGTGGGGCTCTAGTCTCCCCCTCCTCCAGATGTGTTTCACTTCTCGTCACTGCCTGTCCCTCCACAGTGACTGCAGAGGTTTCTTTGCATCTGGATTTTCTGGTGGCTTCCAGCAGGGGGCTGTCAGCAGGTGGGGTCTCATTCTCTCATCCCCGCAGCAGAAGTCCAAAGCCTGTGTTTTACGGGCCACACTCTAATCAGCCATGAAAGCCCCCAGCTGCCTCCCTGTGCAGCGGGAGGTCTGTTAACAAAAGATTAATTAACGGGATCATTAAGCTTTGCAAGTGGCTCCTTCCCATGAGTGTGCTCCCTCCCCTGCCCCATCCCTCTGCTGCACCTGCATCTGTCCAGGCCATGGCGCCTGGCCTCTCACAGGAGCCCTCGTGGGCAGGCTGCCGGTGGCCTGGGGGTCAGGAGGCCTGGGTTTTAGCACTGGCTTCTCAGCTCATTTGCTGTGGGACTCGGGCAAATCCTCCTCTGGGTGATGTCAGCTCTGGGGCTGTCATAGACAGCTCATCCCCAGGACCTGCCTGGAGGAGGAACACACCTTACAGCTCCTGACCCCAGGGAGCTGTCCCGGCCACCACTTCGGGGCCAGGCTCTGAGCTGCACATTGTGGGGTGCTCCAGGAGAACTCGGGGATCCACTTCTTGGGGGGGAAGCAGGATGGGCTGGGCAGACATGGATGGGAACCCCACAGCATGACATGTGCCTGGGCTGATGGAGGTGTGGACAGAGGCCCCCAGAGTGACGAGTGGATGTCCTCAGAAAGGAGGTGCAGTCTCCAGGCAGGGGTAGGAGAGACGTGGTGCTCAGGCAGAGGAACCAGCAGAAGCGAGGGCCAGGAGGTGTGAAAGGATGGAGGGTGGCCGTGCAGTCAGCGGTTGTGTGTTCAGGACTGGCCTTGTGGGTTTGGCTCGGGTGTACCTCGGCTGTGGGAAGAAAAGGGAAGGGGGGCAGGCCTCTAGGTGAGAAGAGGAGCTGGGCCCCAGGGTGGCTGGGGTTCAGGTGAGACCCACCCATGTAAAGGGGATTGGGTGCCAGGGACCTCCCAGCTCTGAGACATGGCACCAGTGGAGGCGAGGCCCTGCCGGGCTCGGGGATTTCGCTTGGGTTTTCCCACCTGCTTCCCTGAAATTGCTGTCTGCAGGCGTGGGGCCCGCCCTGCTCACCTGTCCTCCCTGCTCACCTCTCTGGGCTCTGGGGTTCCCATGGGGCACAGGAGGCAGAGGAGCTGTTCCCACGGGCCCAGGCAGGAATGTCCACGTTCCAAATCTGATGCTTTTGGGGAGAGGGGGAGGGAGCAGAGGCTGGGCAGCCGAAGAGGGTTGGGGGTCAAGAGTGGGCCTGGTAGGACCTGCTACTCACAGGCATGAGTTTCCCTCCTCTGGACCTCAGGCTCCTCCCCTGGGAGCAGAGAGAACGCTCCCACGGGCAGAGAGGTCCCTTGGAGAACGAATGGGGCTGTGGCCTTGTGCTGGTGGCTAGGGCAGCGGGGTGGGTGGGAAGTGGGGTCCCCGAGCCCCACTCTACAGCCCCCTCCCTCATTCCACATCCAGGCACTGAGTTTGAGTACACCGACTCTGAGAGTGAGGTCAAGGTGCGGAAGCGGTCACCTGCCGGGCTGCTGCGGCCCAAGAAGGGACTGGGGGAGCCAGGCCCCTCCCTGGCCACACCTGTGCCTGGCGCCCGTGGCCCTGGCCCCACCCCCACCAGCCCAGACAAGGTGAAGCTGACTGCGGAGAAGGGACGCAAGGCCCGCAGGCTGCGGGGCCCCAAGGAGCCTGGCTTCGAGGCGGGGCCCGAGGCCAGTGATGATGACCTGTGGACGAGGCGGCGCAGTGAGCGCATCTTCCTGCACGACGCCTCAGCTGCGGCCCCAGCACCCAGCAGTACGGCGCCCGTTGTTGCCAAGCCTGGCCGCTGTGGCAAGGGTGGCCCCCTGAGCCCACGCAAGGACACAGGCCGCACCAAGGACAGGAAGGACCCCAGGAAGGTAGGAGCTCAGCCCAGGGAAGAAGGGGTCCCAAACACCAGCTTTTACCCTCCAGCCTTGGGAGGTGGCTCTGGTGTCCCCTGACTCTCCAGTCCTGGGAGGTGGCTAGGAGCATTATTAGACCTGGCAGTGGGGAGAGGCGGCCTCCCTCCCTCACACAGGCCCTCTTGCCTCAGTAACATTCCAACCATGTGTGAGGGGCACGGAGCCCATAGAAAACTGCAGTTACCAAAACGCCAGACCTCCCTTTGTGATGCCACACCTGGCTCATTTACCAGAGGCTCTGAGAAGGAGCCCGGTAGCAGCTGAGCAAGGCCAGTGCGAGTGTAGTTGATATTTTAAGGTCTCTGCAGTAACTGTCATGCTCTTCATGGTGGTGATTTCTGTTGGTGACAAAGTCATAGGCACGGCCAGTCTTATTATGAGTTGTGGCCTCTACTCCCACCTGAGGGAACGTATTTCCTCAGAGGTCAGTGAACTTAGAGATGGGTTTCTTTTTTCCATACAATTGCACAGGCTTTGGAATTCTCTGGACACCAGGGCGAGAATGCTTATTTACTCTTTAAGGACTCAGTGGCGGTTAGACCTATTACCCTTTTTGCATGGGCTGCTAGGAAACTAGTGGCTGGTGGTTCCCCCCGTGGGTGGTTGCATTGAAACCTAACAGCCAGCTCCTAACAGTGGTCTCTGCCTCAGCCTCTCCACCTCGCGTCCCTGAGGGAGGGTACACTTACACGACAGTGACCTAGAGAAAGTGGCAAAAGGGGATGAGACTCTACACCAATTTCCTGCTATCAGTGATCGTGAGGAAGGGGCTGCGTTGGAGTGTCCTTCACCTCCATTTGTGCTCACTCTTCATTTCTTTATGGCTAAAGCTGCCACTGAGGGTTCCTGTGAGTCTTGGAGAGAAGGTGCCCCCCTTCAGGTGCCAGTTGCAAGTCCAAGGCCGCATGTACTTCTGACTGACTGGCTAGAAATCGGGGGTTCCCATGACCTCAGGTTTGATAATTCACTAGAATGACTCACAGACTCGGGGAAACACCGTACTTAACGTTTACTGGTTTGTTATAAAGGACACAACTCAGGAACAGCCCATGGAAGACGTACAGGGAAGGGTCTGGGGGACAAGGCCAGAGCTGCCACACCTTCCCTGGGCTTGCCACCCTCTAGGCACCTCCTGGTATTCACAGGAAGCTCTCTAAACTCCATCATTCAAGGCTTTATGGAGGTTTCGTCACAGGCATGCAATGGATTATTACTCAGTCTTAGCCCCTCTCATGTCCCTAAGGGACCGAGTCTCTCACTGGAACAAAAGAGGCTCCAAGACCCAGGAAGTTCCAAGGGACTTAGGAGCTTGGTGTCAGGAACTGTGGGCGGAGACCAAATGTGAATTTCTTACATCACCTGAGAGCTCACAAAACCATGTGCGCAGGTTACTCGTGGCAATTGCACCTCACAGGTGGCCTGTACCTGCCTGGGGTCACAGCAGCTAATGAGTGTCAGAGCTGAGCTTGGACACAGTACAGCCCAGAGCCTGGGCCTTCACCCCTGTGCCACGTGACCTCATCGGGTCTTTCCCTCGGTGGGACCTCTGTTGTGGAAAGGACCAGGGTCACCCAGTCCCAGCTTCTTGGGGATACAGTAACAGTCCAGAACAGAACAGGTTAATAGTCAACAAAAGGAGAAATCAGACACCATATCCCGTCTCCCCAGGAATGGCCACTGCTCGTACTTTTTTGAGATATACTTTGATTCCTGTTTTTTAGACTTGGCATTATATCTCATGCGTTCCCATGTGCTGAGCTTTTATTTTACTCTTTTAAAATCAGTATTTCTAAGGGGATGCATAACATCCCACCGGGTGGCCAGCCCACAGTTTTCGTACCCCAACCCCCACGCAAAGATGTGCTAAGACAAGCTATTTAATTGCAGACATTAGAGGGGAGAGGAAACAAAACCACCTTAGAAACGGTCCTTTGACCCCCCAAGATGCCTCCTGATGTTAGTTAGAAATGTGAACAGGATTAAAATGTGCATCGGACACAAAAAAGACGTAACGTGTATATGTCTATATTTCCCCCCAAAATGGGCATGAAATCGAACACCTCTCATTCCTGAAATGGTTCCTGTTTGGTGCCTTTTAACGCTGTTTGCCCTGCATCTCACTCGCCTGCTGTTGTCAGGGTAACGTTTGCCCAGGATCATCCCTTTTCTGTTTCTTCGTTTTCTGGGCCCGTGATTTGGTTGTGTCGTTGTAAGCACTTTGTGCTTAAAAAGCACAAAGTGACCCTCGCCCCCTCATCCCCGCCGCCCACTGCTGTCCCTGGGGTCCCTCCTGTACACGTGCCATCGCTTCTGATTCCCAATGGTACATCTCCTCGGAACAAGGCTCTGCCACCGTGACAAAGCTGGGGCTGCGTCTCTGGATGCACCAGCGTTTCTGGAACTGGCTAGATGTCAGGTTGCTCCCAGTTCTTGGCTCTGAGAGGCAGGCCTTACACAGTCCGCCTGCACTTGCACCATCTCCACTCCACCTCCAGGAGGGTCCCACCCGTTTTACCAGCTGGGGGGCATTGAGCTGGGCTGGTGTGGCACCCCCCTCTCCAGGGTGAGTGGAAAGCAGCACGCGCCTCCTGGAGGTGACCTGGACAGCAGCTGCTCTTTCCAGGAACAGGCCTGGAGAACTAGCCGGCCCTGTCTCTCCTCTGGCACCACTAGGAAGGGTGAAAAAACGGAGGCACCATTGGGGTGGTTGAGTTGTGGATCCCCACACTGTGGCATGTTGGGCAGCTGTTAAAATAGAAAGCAGCTCCCTTAGCGTTTATCAGGCATACTGATGGGGGTGTTGCAAAATGGGACTTTTGGTAAATTCCCATCTGTGTTTATAAAAACCACTGTGTTTAAAAAAAGACTGTCTGCACAGCCCTTGTGTTCACATGGGTGCCTGTGCTTGTGCAAGGTTCTGGAAGAGCTCACCAGGCTGCTGCTCCCAGTGGGCGCTGGTGACCTCCACTTTAACAGGATCACTGGAGGGGCTCGTACACACAGACGTGCCGTATATACACCTCAGTGCTGTCATCTCTCTACACAAGTAATATGCAGGGTGGGGCAAAAGTAGGCTTATAGTTCACTTGGGAAATAATACAGTGATTAGTAAACTATTTCACGTAGTCACAGCTGTAAACCCACTTTCATGTGGCCCCCCCCCC